TTAAAACATTTACTTAAGATCTGGCTGGGTGCAGGGGCTCATTCCTGTAATCCCAGTGCTTTGGGAGGGCAATGTGGGAGGATTGCTTGAATTGAGGAGCTTGAGACCAGATTGTGCAACATAATGAGAACCTATCTTTATGAAAAGTAAAAAAAATTAGCTGGATCTGGTACTATGTACCTATAGTCCCAGCTACTCGGGAAGCTGAGATGGGAGAATTGCTGGGGTCTAAGGCAGGGGGATTGCGTGGCCAGGAATTTCAGGCTGCAGTGAGTTCTGATCATGCCACTGCACTCCTGCCAGAGTGGGCAACAGAGTGAGACTTTGTCTCTAAAAACAAAACAAAATCTGTTAATTTATTTAAGAAACATTTACTGAGTGCTTAGTGTTGCTACTACAGCTGGGATTAAGACAGAGGCCCTGGTCTGTCTAGAACTTACACTTCGGTTAGGGAAAAGACACAAATCAGAAAATATAAGGTAGTTATAAATGTTCTGAGTAAAATAAATAGGGTTGGTATACTAGACAGTGCATATGAAGCTACTGTAGACCTTTGTGAGAAGGTGGTATTTAAGTTGAGACCTGATTGGTGTGAGATAGCGTTGTATCCATCTAAGCAGAACGTCACAACATGTAGACAAAACAGTCAGTACAAAGGCATTGAGGTAGACACGGTCCTGGGCTGTGGTTGGTGCACAGAAAGGGGGAAAGTAATAGAAAGCTAGGTTAAAGAAGTAGGTAGAGGCCACATCACAGTGGGCCTTGCCAGCCATGGTAGGAAGTTGGAGGGTGTTATGGTAGAGGTAACATGATCTTATTTATATTTTTATTATTTATATTGATGAGCAATTAGAATAAAGAGGGTGGGGAAAAAAGATGGAATTCCCAGAACTTCAGATGTCAGAATACTTCCATCACTCTAATATAGTTTAAATAACTAGCTTTTCTTTTAGCTCAGAAATATAAGAGGATTTCATGGGAATGTTTGTCTTAACTGTGTTTTGCAAATGGATGGTCGAAGGATCAAAAACTTGAGCTGTGTTTTTGTTTGCTTTTTGGAAAAGTATTAACCATTAAAATAAACAAGTTTTACAATATTACATTATAGATTAGCTTTAAAATAATGCATGGGTGATTAACCAGATGTGTTTTCCCTCAGATTAATGTTCTTCAATCAAAAAGGAGATCAGAAATCCTAAAATCAGTAAGATATTAATTGAAATGATGTTTTAAATATTTTAATATGAAACTAAATGTACACATTTAGGTGTTGAAAGAGCATCTGGTATATACATGGCAAGGTTTATGATTGCTCTTCTTTTTGATCTTCGTTTGTATTTGTGGCACTGAACTTCTTTTTGTCTCCTTCATGTTATAGTTGTTTGTGTAATATATCTGTTGATACACGTGAGGTCCATGAAGGCAGACTGTGTACTGTTCCGTTTTTGTTTTCTTTTCTACTCTTATGTTGCTTTACATGCACTAGATGCCCAGTACCATTTGATGAATAACTAAAAGTGTTTGGTGTGAAAACCTGTGAGAATATTTCAGAATTGTTTTGAGAGTTACGAAGATAAAAACTGTTACATTTAGGCTTTGGATTTTTTTCTCACTTGTTTTGCCTTAAACATTTTTGCCCAGCCTCTCAACATATTTACATTTTTCTCTGTAATTTTTTGCATTGTTTGGACTTTAAAAATACTCGAGATTGAGGATTTACATGAATACTATCATTTGGAGAATTTTTCCGTTAAAGTTGAGGATGGATCAGTCTTTTGGTTTCTTCTTTGGTATGCAGTTACAAAACCAGTGGGATGAAATTTGGTGATCACTTATTTCCTTGAGCCTCTTCACTCACATGATGATTGTTTTTTGGTGAGGAGCCCTTTTTTTTGATCTTAAAACTAATGAAGGCCGGTTGCCAGGGCTCACGCCTGTAATCCTAGGACCTTGGGAGGCCAAGGCGAGCGGATCACCTGAGGTCAGGAGTTCAAGACCAGACTGTCCAACGTGGTAAAACCCCATCTCTACTAAAAATACAAAAAAATTAGCTGGGCATGGTGGCAGGCACCTGTAATCCCATCTACTTTTGGAGGTTGAGGCAGGAGAATCACTTGACCCTGGGAGGCGGAGGTTGCACTGAGCCGAGATCACACCATTGCACTCCAGCTGGGTTACAAGAGTGAAACTCTGTCTCAAAGAATCCAAAAAAAAAAAACCCAAAACTAATGAAGAAGTGACGGGGCATGATGTGGTATAGCATAGCACTCTTTATATTTTGATAGCCTTAGTAATAATCTCTCAGCTTTGAATTATTTACTGACATTTCCCCCATAAGGCTATACTTAAGTTGCCTTAGATTCTGTCCCCACCTAGCTTTTTTCTAAATTTTGTGTATATATTTGTGTCATATCTTATTAGGTAAACACATTGTACTTCCTGTTTTTAAAAGATAATGTTTATACCTCTCTTGTTTTCCAGATTGACAGTAATGTGTATTAATTGTAGAAAAATTAGAATGTATATGAAGAAAATATAAAAACTACCTAGAAATTCTGCTACCAAGGGGGAGCCACTAATAATATCTTGGCATACATCTTCATCTTTTTCTCTCTTTCTGTGTGTGTGCATGTATGTGCGTGCGTGTATGTGCATGCGTGTGTGTGTGTACATATGTACATGAACTTGTATATATGCCTTTTAAAATCATATTTTTTAATTGGAATCATTCCCCCATACTATTTTATAACTTTCTTTTTTCACTAATACACTGCGAAGTTACATGTGATTAAATATCCTTTATTTAGATGATGGCTTTGTGGCCAGGTAGAAATCTACCACGTGAATATACTAGGGGTTGGCAAATGTTTTCTGTAAAAGTCCAGGTAGTAAATATGGTAAGTTTTATAGGCCTCATGGTCTCTGTCGGAATTACTGTGCTATTATAATGAGAAAGACAGTATGTAAATGAATGGTCATGGCTGTGTTCCAATAAAACTTATTTAGAAACACAAAAATTTGAATTTCATACAATTTTCACATATATATTTCATATATTTTTATTATCTTTAAATCATTTAAAGATGTAAAAACCATTAATAACTCATGGACTATCAAAAAACAACTGGTGAGGCCTAATAAAGTTTGCAGGTCATAGTTTACTGACCTTGAAGAAATATACAACAAATTAATTTCACCTATTAATGAATATTCAAATAATTTCCTTGTTTTTGACATTAAAACATTGCTAGCATTGTCGTGATCATTCTAATGAATAAACCTGTTATTTTCTTAGGATAGATTTATAAACTAGAGATTACATAGTTAAAGGATTTAGGCTTTGGAAAAATATTGTCCAATTTCAAGGGTTATACAGTATTTCCCCTAATACTGTGTGAAAATGAATATTTCTCCACATTTTACGAACATTGAGCACTCCAGTTTCTCCCCCAAACTCCCCCTAGTTTGGTGGATAGAAAGCATGATCTCATTACTCAGTTTTGCATTTCGTTAATACAAATGAGTTTAAACATTTTTCCATATTTTTTTTTTTGGCCACTTATGTACCTCCTGTGTCGTTTGTCTCTTTTTCTGTTGGAGTGTTCATCTTTTCATGTTGATTTGTAACATCTCTTACATCTTAAGACTGTTAACTCCTTGTCATGTGTTTTTTCCTAGTTTATCATTTGTCTTTTAATATGCTTGTTTTGCATTTTAATGTACAGGCATGTTTTATATTTTTATGTAGTCCTAGCTATTAATCCCATCCCTCTTTTAAGATTTTTAATTGATTTTTTAAATAATTCATTTGTTTTTATTATATTCACAAATTTGGGCAATGATTACCATTATCTAATTCCAGAATAATTTTCCTCTTCTGAGTTTTACCTTTTGTCTCTGTGTTTTAATAGTTTTTTTTTTTTTGGAGGATTTTTGAGTATTAAGGACTTTATGACCTACTTTAGACTTCAGAAAATTTAACAGATGCCACTTGTTAAAAATAACATGGATGTTTAGAATATTTTTTCAGTATTATTCATGTAATTATAGAATTCCTTTTATGTAAAAACTTAATAAAATTGAGGGTGATTTTTCTGTTTAAAATAGGTAAAATATGATAAAACTTGGACAAATCTCACCCCATTAATGTTAAGTTTTTAGATTTGGTGGTATGACTTAAGAAACCTCCATATTGGCAAATTCAGTTGATTCATTTTATTTTGGTATCTTGAGAGAAAAACCAGCTTTCTCCTACTTGAGATTGTGCTTGGTGCTCTGGGAGACTGTAAAGTGTTTGTGTTTTATTTTGAGCACTTTATTTTCCTCTGTCTTATCTTTTTGTCTTTTTTTTACAATTTAAAGTTTGTCAGTGAGCTTGGTTGAAGGAGCACATAAAAATGGATGTAGAAAGAGTTACTGAAAATTGGATAATTTGAATCTGCTGTATACATTTTGATCACCTAGAAATACTCTAAACAATTAAAATTTGGGGCATTAAAAAAAACTTTAAACCACTGGGAAATTTCTTTTAAATAAAACTTATTTTCATTGTATTTTAAAACATTTTTGAAATACTCTTTTAAAACAGATGACTCAGTTTAATTTTCAAATAGGTTTGATGAGCTGAGCACGGCGGCTCATGCCTATAATGCCAGCACTTTTAGAGGCCGAAGTGGGAGGATTGCTTGAGCCCAGGAGTTCAAGATCAGCCAGGGTAACGTGCTGAGACTTGGTCTTTACAAAAGAATAAAAAAATTAGCTGAGTATGGTGGCACATGCCTGTGGTCCCAGCTACTTAGGAAGTTGAAATGGGAGAATCTCTTGAGCCTGGGAGGTTCAGGTTGTATTGAACTCTTCTTTGTGCCACTGCATGCCAGGCCTGGGCAACAAAACAAGATCCTTTCTCCTGTCTGTCTGTCTGTCTATCTATATAAAATATTTCAGAATGTTTAGGTCTAGATTTTAAAATGGTCATCTTTTTTTCCCCCATTAGATGTTATCATTTATGTATGCCCATTTGGCCTTCTTTCATCAAGGATATGATCTGTTTAGTGAACTTGGACCCTACATGAAGGATCTGGGTGCACAGGTAATGTTGCACTATATTTCTTAATTCAGTTTTATACACTGATATTTGTATTTTTAAAGAAATTTAGCATATTGGAGGTGTATTAATCTGTTCTCAACACTGCTATAAAGAGCTGCCTCAGACTGGGTAATCTAGAAAGGAAAGGTCTAATTGACGCACAGTTCTGCATGACTTGGGATGCCCCAGGAAACTTACAATCATGGCAGAAGGCAAAGAGAAAGCAAGGCACCTTCTTCACAAGGTAGTAGTGGGGAGAATGAACGCAGTATCAGGAGGACTTGACATTTCATTTACTTAATGAAGAATGAAGTTTAATGCTACAGCAGATTTATATATGGGTTAAATTCCCAAATGTTTGCTGTTTGAGTATACCCAAAAATGAAATCAACGGTAAAAAGAACTTTATGGTATAGATTGTATATGAAGGTATTGAAAAGGAGAATTTAAAAACAAAGTGTTTGTTCTGCAGTCTACATAACTGGACTTATTTTTAAATGTCTTACATTTGGATAATTGAGTTATTGTTCCAATTTGCTTTTTATTTGAGTTATAGCTCTTTTTTTATTTTCCAAAAAATGGTGTCTTGCTATTTGAATAAAAAACATTTAGAATCTTAAAGTTACAGAGCTCTTGGGTACTTTTTCATTTCATACAGTCACATGTGGCTATCTGTGGCTATGTATAGTTCTCTACATATATACAAATTTTATATATATAAAAATTTCGTTATGTTCAAATTATTTTTACATAGCTGATCAGAACTTTATATTAGATCTGTTCTGGGGATATTGTTTTTTATTGAGAAACATTCTCAATTTAACAGTGTTCTTAGGTGATTTTCTTTCTCAAGATGTTTCAGTTTAGTTTTACAAAGAAGGGGATTAATGATGAAATACAGAGTTTAGGCCAGGCGCCATGGCTCATGCCTATAATTCCAGCACTTTGGGAGGCTGAGGCGTGCAGATTACTTGAGGCCAGGAGTTTGAGACCAGCCTGGCCAACATGGTGAAACCCTGTCTCTGCTAAAAATAGAAAAATTAGCTTTTCCGCCGGCTCCCCACTCCCCACTGAGTGCCGCTCTGCCTACGTCGCTCTCCCTCAGAGCTCTGGGCTCCTGCTAACCTAGCGCCACCGTGGTCTCCCTTCAGCCGCCATCATGATTATTTACCAGTACCTCATCAGCCACATTGAGATGTTCTCTGAAATATACAAGATCTGGGAGATCGCTGAAGGGCTGTGCCTGGAGGTGGAGAGGAAGATGGTCAGTAGGAAAGAAGGTAACATTGATGGTTCGATTATTGGTGGAAATGCCTCCGCGGAAGGCCCTGAGGGCGAATGTACGGAAAGCACAGTAATCACTGGTGTCGATATTGTCATGAACCATCACCTGCAGGAAACACATTCCACAAAAGGAGCCTGCAAGAAGTACATCAAAGATTACATGAAATCAATTAAAGGCAAACTTGAACAGAGACCGGAAAGAGTAAAACCTTTTATGACAAAGGCTGTAGAACAAAGCAAGCACACCTTTGCTAATTTCAAAAACTACCAATTCTTTATTGGTGAAAACATGAATCCAGATGGCATGGTATTGGACTACTGTGAGGATGGTGTGACCCCATATATGATTTTCTTTAAGGATGATTTGGAAATGGAAAAATGTTAACATAATTGGCAGTTACTTCCGATCTATCACCTGTCATTGTAACTGGCTTCTGCTTGTCATCCACACAGCACCAGGACTTAAGAGAAAGGGGACTGATGTCATCTTGAGCTCTTTATTTATTTTGACCATGATTTATTTGGAGTGGAGGCATTGTTTTTAAGAAAAACATGTCATGTAGGTTGTCTAAAAATAAAATGCATTTAAACTCATTTGAGAGAATGCTTTGTAGTTTAATATATATTTAAACCAAATTCATCCTGTAGTGTTCCTGGAGAAGCTAGAGACTGGTTGTAAGCTACTAGAAAGAATTAAGACTCATCAATTAACCTCTACGAAACTACTTCTGGGACTGGAATGTAAAAAAGAATCAAAGGTTTTGATTGTGATTTGCAATAAAGGGAAAGACCATCCTCATAGCAGTGCCAACATCTGAAGTGGAGCCTTACACATTTCACCATCTACAACGGAAGTAGTTAACTGGAAGAGTCTACCCAGAGAATAAAAATAGACTCCTTCAGTTGGAAGCAACTTTGTCTCAGTAGATAAAGAGAGCCAAGTCTCTTGGGATGAATGTTAAACTCCCTGGTAGCTAGAACAGGGGCTGACTGGCAAATTAGCCTGTTCAGCCACCTGTTTTGTACACTTTAAGGTGTTTGGTTGCATTTTTAAATGGTTGAGGGGAAAATAAAAATTTAAAAAAAAATTAAAAAATTAGCCAGGTGTGGTGGCGTATGCCTGTAATCCCAGTTACTCCAGAGGCTGATGCAGGAGAACTGCTCGAGCCTGAGAGGCAGAGTTCACAGTGAGCCAAGATTGGGCCACTGGACTTCAGCCTGAGTGACAAAGGGAACCGGTCTCAAAAAAAGGAAAAAAAAGAAAAATAGAGTTCAAGGAAAAAGATAAGAGTGGAATGGGAATTGAATTTACTGACCAGAGTGTATGTCAGGTGTGGTGTGTGTATGTGTGTATGCCATGGATTACATGAATTCTGTTTTCTGCCTTGGCAGAACTTAGTCTCTCAGGAGAAACCAACAAGTCACCACACTGGTAATCTCTGTGCTGAATACCTTATGTGGGTGTAACAGTTGGGATTAGGTTTGCTTGCAAATAATAGAAAACTGACAATACTAGTAGCTGAAAATAGAGTTTTATTTCTCTTATGTAAAGTCAAATGCATGGTATAGTGGCTACTTGGTTAGCAGGAATGCAGGCGTATTTTTTTTATTCTAACTCATCGTTCAAAGTGGCTAATCAAGTCACTAGCTATTATACCCAAATTACAGCTAATAGGAAGAAGGAGAGAAGAATGAAAGATACATTTTCTCTCTTTAAACACATTTCCTAGAAATTGTACATATTACTTCTAAGTATATCCAATGCCAAGTGCTTAGTCACAGGGTCACAATAGTTGAAAGGGACATTAACTTTAATACCAGGTAGCCACGTGACCTGCTAGAATTTAGGGGGTCCATTCTTAAGGAAGAAGGAGAAAATAGGAATTGAGGGACAGCTGGCCTTTTCCATCATATCGGAAAGGTTCAAAGTGTTCGGAACATATAGACAGGACATGTAAGCCAGACTTGGGGGGAAGGAAAGACCTTCCTAGGTTTTAGACATCCTCATAATACTATCAAATGTTAGATTGCCCTCTCACATTCAGCATAATTTATAAAAGCAGTATGAGTTCAGTTGCAGTTGACTAGCTGAAATACTTATGTATTTTTAAGACATTTAATCATTTTAGTTTTATAGGTTTTCCTCTACTCTAGATCTCAAATAAAGTTGCAGGTCCTTGGAAAACAACATCTAAGCCACAGACCCTATAGTGCCTAGTGGATAAGATGGCCGGATTGGAGGTGGCCTGTTACGATATTCTTTTCGTAATTGGTAGATAATGGCATCTGAAACTAACTACATGGCAGTAGAGATAGAAGTGGTTAGATTTGAGCGTTAAGATACAGTCAGTTCGAGGGTGGAAGGGCATGAGGAGTTGACAGATATATTAATTTGTGAGGATAAGATGTGTAAGTGGTTGTGTATGGAGCTCAAGAGAGGGACATACACTGAGTCAGTAGCATATAGTTGCTGATTGCAATCACAAGAGTGGGTGAGTTGATGGGAGGTGAGTTAGATATCTCTGAATCATAGAGCTTTTTTTCCTAAAAATTTTTTTCTTTCTTTTGACGGAGTCTCATTCTGGTGGACAGGCAGTGGTGCGATCTCGGCTTACCATAACGTCCACCTCCTGGGTTCCAGCGATTCTCCTGCCTCAGCCTCCTGAGTAGCTGGGACTACAGGCGCATGCCACTATGCCTGGCTAATTTTTTTATTTTTAATAGAGATGAGGTTTCACCATGTTGGCCAGGCTGGTCTGGAACTCCTGACCTCGTGATCTGCCCACCAGGGCCTCCCAAAGTGCTGGGATTATAGATGTGAGCCACTGCACCTGACCCATAGAGCTATTTCATTTATTTATTTCTGTTTATTTTTTGAGATGGAGTCTCACTCTGTCTCCCTGGCTAGAGTACAGTGGTGTGATTTCGGCTCACCACAACCTCCGCCTCCCAGGTTCAAGCATTCTCCTGCCTTAGCCTCCTGAGTAGCTGGGACTATAGGCATGTGCCACCACACCTGGATAATTTTTTGTATTTTTAGTAGAGACAGGTTTTTACCATCTTAGGCAGGATCTCAATCTCCTGACCTCCCAAAGTGCTGGGATTACGGTCATGAGCCAACACACCTGGCCCCATAGAGCTACTTTAAAAAAAAAATCTAGGTGCATAGACATTGTAAAGATTTTTATTTTGTAAGTTAAGGTTGAGGTCCCCTGGTATTGAGTAAAAAGAGAAGCTGACTTGGAATAGGGACCTAAGAAGGACTGATTTTTGAGATGGCTGCGTAAGAGAAGCTGTGTGAGGACGTAGATGAGCAAGGAAGTGGAAAAATAGGAGACTGGCATCATAGGCCAGGAACAGTGTTTCAAAGGGAAGGAGTGGTTATCAGCTTTAATTATTAGAAAGTTAAGTAAACCTAGGACTGAGAAATACCTGTTGGATTTAGCAGCAAAAAGTTGTTACCTCTGTGAGAGATGCTGTTTCCATGAAGTTGGGGACTCAAGCAGTAGAAGTTGAATTACAGTGGGTAGATGAATAGGAAATGGGCAAGTTTAGAAGGTGGCAATATTTTAAAGAAGTTGTGTAATGAAGGAAAGAGGGAAGGAATGTGGTAGCTGGAAGAAGAGTATGGGTTAGAGGTTTTATTAAGGTAGAAGGATTTGCATCAACTTAAAAACAGATGGGAATGGGCCTAGTTCAACAGGGAGAAGTTGAAAAGGAGAAAGAGAAGTGATGATATCTGAGATTGGTGGGAGTGGAAGGGATTGAAAACGAAGAGGGACCAGGGATACCTGCTTAGTTATAGGTACCTATTAAAATTCATAATGTCCAATACTAACACAAACTTTTCTCTGCTCCAAGTTATCTTCCTGATACATTTCCTGGTGTTTAGAAGATAAGACTCTGCCAGTCTTCACATTTCCTCAATTCATGCCTCTCCTCAAACTCCCCGCATCATGAAAGACACGTTTTCTTTATATTTTTTCCCCATAAGAGAGGGGGAATTGTCCCTATTTTTCTGTTGTAATAACAGTGGGGTTAGAGATGCAAGAGACATTTATTACCAATTAGGTAGTAAACCATCACCTACATTGCAGAATTCATATGCAAAGTATATGCATGCATATTTGTAAATATTTTGAATTTGGGGCTTACCTCGTACTGTACTTCAGTGTGAATGAATGAATGAATAATATTTATATGCCACACAATTAGAGCCATAAAAACCATAGGATGCTCAGTCCACTCATTCTGCATAAGAAGCTGTTGTGAGGGTATGTTTTGCTAGTGCAACATGTACAGCTTTACCCACTAAATCAATGCTGCATGTCCCTAAGGTATGTATGTATTAGATCCTAAAGTAGAATAGTGTAGTTGCCACCTATATCAGGTACTTTATGATAGTGATAGTTCTGTTTCATTTCTGTTCTGGGTATTTTTTTTTGTTACTCTTTATTATTCAGTAATATTATCTGTGACCAAGACTTTTTAAAAATGTAGCTTTTAAAAGATACAGCTTACAATGTTTAGACATTTAATGCTTATCTTTATCATATTCCTGCTGATCTGATATGTATGTTTTAATTTATTCATTTATCGAACATGTGTTAATCATTTCGAGGTGGTGGAGGTTCAGAGTTCGAAAGGCATCATCATAGTCTAAACCATGAAACCCACACAATAATATATAACCCAGTTATTGTTAGCTTAGCAAATAGGATTTTAGGAAGCAGGTGCGATTCTCATCACATCTTACTGGAAATCAAATACTTCCTTTATGATGGAAAGGAAAATCATCCTTTCTAAAGCAAAGGAACAAGAAAGAAATGGATTTTATAATCTTACACTAAGTTTTTTGAGCTTTTAAAAATGATCCTTAAGATTGCTGATTTCTTACCTTGGTCTTATGAATGATTACTATTTTTTTTAAGCTTTTTCTTTTATCTGGTGAATTATTTTTTCTTCTTTTGAGATTTGATTATAATATTAGGGAGCCAACCTGAAAACATGAAGAGGCATATTGAATGATTGGAAGTAGCTGTTAGAGTGAATTTGTGAGAGCTGGTTTAGCTGGTTTAGCACTAGTTTAGGTGCACTACTTTTTGCTGTTTGAGAAATAAGTCACCAGTGTCTTCTTTGTTTCTTTTTTTTTCTTTGTTTCTTTTAAGTACCAGAATTTGCTTAGTGGGTCAGCAGGCAGCTTCAGCTAGAGTCATTTTCCTTCTTCAAGGATTGAACGTGTATCATCGCAATACCTGTGATAAGGCCTCTATATGTAGTGGCACCATGACTATTCTTGGAAATGTTTTTTCTAGTGGAGGTTTGGATCTTCTCAAAGAGAACTTGATAGCAGAAAAAAATATGAACTTCTACTTCAAAGTTTAGCTGAAACCTTTTTAAATAAGCTTGAATGGAGTGATTTTTAAATGATATTTATCTGTGAAATGATTTGGAATATGATTTGAAAAAATAATCCATACCTTTTTTTAAGTCTACAGTTTTCTCTTTTTCCCTTTTTACAGTTGGATCGACTGGTTGTGGATGCAGCAAAGGAGAAAAGAGAAATGGAGCAAAAACATTCCACCATTCAACAAAAGGTACCTCAGGGGAAAAATTAAAAATTAATTCAGTTTTATACAATTGCTTGGTTGTTGGTTTATGCAAGGTTTCATTATATTGGAACAAATTCTTTTGAGTTGTTTTAATAATTAAATTGTGCAGATAAATTTCTC